CGGATTACAAGCGCCTGCAACACTACAAGGGCATCGCCGTGGGTCTGTCGCACCGCCTTGGTCTACATCAGAGCCAGAAGCGCTTCTCATTTGGCGCCCTCACTATTGAGACGCGCAAGAAGGTCTTCTGGACTCTCTACACTCTGGATTGGTGAGTATCCTTGTGCATGATCTTCTCTGTGTTACCTCCACTGACAACCGCAGCTTTTCTGGCGCTATTCTTGGCCTGCCAAAATTGCTCAAGGAAGACGATATCCACGCCGAATACCCATCAGACACGGACGATGAGTACGTCACTGAGAAGGGTTTCCAACCAACTTTGCCCGGAGAGTACACTCGCCTGTCCAGCGCGCTCGCTCTGTTCCGCTGCTGCCGCATCCTTGCGAAGGTTATGGAGAAGAATTACCCTGCAGCGACATCTCACGAGCTGTCACTGCAGCAAATGTCCGCCATGGAGGCCGAGCTCGATGAATGGTGCGAGTCGCTGCCCGCACATCTCAAGCTCAACTTCGTCCAGGACAAGCCTTCAACCGATGTCACCGGAAGCCGATCGCCTCTTCTTGCCCTCGCTTACTACTATACGCGCACTCTTATCTACCGCCCGGCCGTCGGTTCCTCGCTCGGTCACAAGGCTGCGCCTGCGCTCCTGTCCATCGGCGAGTCAAGCAAGCACATTGTCCAGATCGTGCAGCTTCTGGAGGAGCGCAACATGACCTTCTCGTTCTGCCTCAACAAGACGGACACACTTATGTTGTGCGGCATGAGCCTGCTCTACCAGAGCTTCGAGTTGAAGCAGGATAGCAAGATGATGAAGGATGTCGAGCGCCTCGTTAACGGCGTCATGAAGATCCTCACGAAAGCCAAGGCACCAGGTTCTTTCGACCTGAAGCGCGTCGCCGGCATGCTCGTGAGGCTGGATGACCCCGTCTCCGCCTCACCTCAACAAGTTTCAGAGACTTCAATGCCTGCGCCGCAAAGATCCTCACCTCCTGCGGCAGGGAACAGGAAGAAGTCTCCACAGCAAACCCTTGGCCGCCTCCCCAGCGCGGCCGCTAGTGAGAGCGATCTCATCCAGCAACAAGAGAAGATGCGTCGCATGACAATGCCCAGCATCCACAACCGCCCGGAACTCTACCGCTCCCGCTCGCGACCATCCTTCGACAACCTGCCCCAGCAACAACAGCAAGACGTCTCCGCCGCCCGCCGAGAGCAGCATCGGCTTTCGATGTCGCAGATTGCCAACCGCGTCAGAATGAGTGGAAAGCAGAATCTTGACTATCTCTCCCTCAGCAGTACGCCCAACGGTTCTTCCCCGCCATCGCCAACATCAGCGCGACTTCAGCAACATCTGTTGGCAGCGGCTCATCAGACTCTATACAACTCGCAACAACCCCCGCAAAAGATCGCTGGTGTATCAACGACTGAGTGGGAAGCGTTGCTGGGTTCCATGGATGGTGGGCTGAACAATGTGTACGACGCCATCTACGGCGGTGGTGCTGGTATGCCGCCGATGAGCGAGACAACACCCGCGTCTACAAACCTTGACAGCTGGTCGCCAGACTCTTGGGATCTGGCGAGCTTCAACATTGGCGATTTCGGAACCAACCCTGCCCCGCCGCAAAGTGTGCTGAGCGTCAGTGAAGAGAGCTTGAGTTCGGGCGAGGATCTGGCCAGCGATCTGAACATGAGCGTCAGCAGCTTAGAGTACCGCAATGCGCTATTAGCGTCATGTTCAGGGAACAACGACGGACTATTTGAAGGATTGGATGTGAACTATGGGCTATGATCTGAGAAGGTTTGGTGAAACACAAGAGCGACGACGACTTTTTGAATGTGAACATTTATTCAACGGCGTGAGGTTGGTTTTCTGATGGGCTGGCTTTGGACAAACAGGTGGGATATGGGTCTACTTAGGATAGCGGATGAGAATCTATGTTTTCATGATTGTGAGATTGAGCATCCTCCTCTAGCGTTACCTGGATTTGTACGTGCCATGATTACCTCTTTTGTTGGTGTTATCCTTCCATGGGTTCAGCACGTCACTAGCCTCGAGTGAGGCGGCTTATGCTCTGCAAAAAGCCTGTTTGGCACCAACCTGCTCGACTCGTGATCGGAAGTGTATGTGTGATCACGCTGGCCAGGCGGGTAGTCTAGTTTGCATGGCGGATTCAAAATAGGGTCGGCGGACTCTTGTGACATCCTCTGTTGTGCAACTCACAAGCTTGCTTTTATATGACCCGGTCAAACAAGTCATCACGGGCGGGTGAGACAATTGGTCAGATTCAATCTGCTAGGGATGACCTCGGGCTGAGTTAAAAATGCAGTGAATTGTCGGTTGAGCCACTAACAACGCTGACTTCCATCAAAAACACCTCCTCGATTACATTTGATCTGATGATTGGCAGGATACTGGGCGCGGCATTGGCCTAGATTAGGTCATAGAGGAACTTCAAACGAATAAACTCTTTGGGTGAGTGCAAAACGTAGTGAAGGCCACTGAATGACACCCACTCTAAGTGACTGGATGTTTTCGCGCGTCCGATCGTGCTCATCTTTCGTGGACACTGAGGATACTTGGTGGCTTCAGAAGGCTTGCTGTAGATGAGCTCCCGTAGATATCCTGATGCTGGTTTGACCACACATCCACTCTCGCTCAGCTAATGTTGAGATAATCCAAGGGTCTTTGGAGCCCAACTCGAGGCATAGTCTTGAAACGGGCAAAGGCGTTCACACTGCTTTCTTCTGTAAGACTGCTAAAAACCACCTGGAGTCCCTGTCCCGGCTTTCCAACCGACGCAAGGCTTTTCATGATATTGCCCTCGGTGCTGCACATCCTTCTCTTTCTCGACTTCGTCCCAGGGATGCGGTCCAGTACCCCTCTTTTCCTCCTTGTCCACGGAGCCAATCCCCTATTTCTTCCATCATCGCGACGGGCATCCCAGGGCTCAACCGTTAGCCCTCGAAAAGTATCTCCTTAAGCGTCTGAGTAAGGAGTGATTAGTGTTGATGCAGGGCCAGGGAATGATTGGACTAGAACCACTGACTCGAAAGAGAGAAACAAAAGGCAGAACCGTGTCCATCAAAGAATCAGACTTTGGCTCATCTTCTGAGTTCACATTATATGGCTTTGCTAATATCTGACTATTGTAAACTAGGCCTATGAATGAGAACAAGGGTTGACAGCGAAGAGAACCCGTCATACGCCACCCAGTTTGACTGCCATGGAAAAGCATCCTTCTGGCCCTTTCGGCGATATACATGTTAGTTGCGATTATTCCTCTAGTAATACGGGAGACCCGATGAGGGAGATGGACCTTTCATTGTGCCTTCTTTCACAGCCTATGAGCCTGATAGTGAACGCAGCGAGACTTTCATCTCCCAGTTCGGCACTGAAGTTGTTCCAAATTCCAACCTCGTGGCATCGTCAATGGATATGCTGCCCAGTCTCGTCGAGTTCAACGCAACGCCAGCATGAGTAATGAGTGTAATGGCGATGGGTGTCACAAATGAGCTTATGGCACCAGGTTCTCGGTGACGGCTTGCTGATGGAACTATTTCACATGCGGCGTACGACATGCTGCCCGAGAGCCTCAAACCAACTCAGCTTCAGGTGATACTTAGTCATCACCCATGGATTGATATCTTGCCATTTCCCAACGCACGAGATAACATACTGAGTCACGATGAGGGACTATATGACAAGACAGACCCATGCCGCGACATGAGAGGATTGCAGTCTGTCGCTCAGGGACGAGGCGGATCGATCGCGTGGGGAGACCCGTAGGATCAACCAGCATGGGAGGTCACTGAAGCTTTTGCTGCTTAGTGGCCTTGGGTAATCAAAGGGTATCGTGACCTGTTAAGATATACGAGATACTGGAAGGAATTGCGGTTAAAGGTGTAACGAAGTACCTAGTTGTTGTGTCTTAAGGCTCAAAGATGCCCTCGATAGAGAATTGTGAATATATTAATGAAGCAATGATTGCAGATAAGGTTGATTACTCTGTAACTCAGCACCTTTTACATAGCCTCGGTCACAAAAGTCGTCACGCGCTGGTGAGACAGTCGAAAAGATTTCACAGGCCTGAGTATGACCTCCGTGTGGGTTGGAAAATGCAGAGAAACTAAAAAATGAGCCACAAACCATGGCTCTAGGCTCATAGTACGCAGGCTGCAGCAATTGGACACGGAAACCTCCAATCACCGGAAGCCGGCTCCGTCGCTTGTATCTCGCCTTGTATAGAACTCAGCTAGAGCCAATGTTTACATGCCCCATTGCTTACAATGACACTGTTGTACTCGTCAGTTGAGACGCACCTCACAGACGAGATGGAATGAAATGAAACACAGGCTGGGGCTGTCATCCTCCTCTACCCTCCTGGCTTCATTTAACCCTCAAGCTACTTAATGACAACCGGTGTGAGCCTAATATCCCTCAGAAGTTGAAAGGCAACCACCAAACACACAGAGATGTATATATATATGTTCACACTTGCTTGCTCCTTCCCACATGACGTTCACACAACTTTGGGTTAGATGTGTAAGGATTTCTCCCTGGTGGGGGGCAAAATGGGAATAATGCCCCCAGGAACTCAGTCGGAATGGCGCTTGGTTTCTGCTGAGTGAAAGAAAGTCACGAGGGAACTCAGTTGAAGAGGATCGCATGCCGTATGTCAATGTTAAATTCATCTACAGCGTCTCCGGGATGTAGACTCAAATATGTCGGTTGCCTTGGTTTAAAGTCGCTACTAAACACTATCCTAGCCTGTACTTCGTCAAAAATGTAAGGAAACTACTCTCCTATCCCGACGTTTGTCTACTTAAACTATCCGAGCTGGTCCGCCGCGATGTTAAGCTGGCTCCTTCAAAATTGCTAATAGTGACCGCATCGCTAGAGGCACGTCTCTCAACATCCTCCCGGAACCTCTCATCTAGACTTCCAGTACCCCTTATCCTGAAACTCCTTAGTATCGCATCCCATCTCCATTTATCCTGTCCATTCACAGCACCACCTCTTTGAACTTCCGAAGTTCGATCACTTGCTCCCTCTTCACTTCGATCCATCTGTACCTGTGAATCTTCATCCTCGGATCTTTCTGAAAATTCCCTGTCCTGGTCTCCACGGCCTCCATCTGCCCCTTTTTCTGGGATATCATCCGCTCTCTTGTTAGCCTCTTTCGAGAATAGGCTGTTCAACCGGTTAAACAACATAACCACTATTATTCTCAATATCATCAACTTTAGCCCTCTTGCTCTGAATGACACCCATCTTCTCATCAACTCTTCCCTAGATCGAGGCGAGTCTGCGAATTTGTACACCACCAATGCCAGCACAGTGATTGTCAAGGTTGTGATGGCGGTCAAAATCATGTTGATCAATGTTGGTCCAGCAGGTGCTCCGCTCGTGCTGAAGATACCAGTTGCGAAACCCAGTGGCAGAAACACGACGGTGACGTATGTGAAGCGCTTGACGTCTTCTCCGCGTCGTAGTTCTAGGTCGTTACGTAAGATATCCAGCCAACTGTGCATGATCTCGAGATCTTTCGTAGTTGCCTCAATCAATGCCGAAATCTTTTGGTGATAACTCCTAAATTCCCGGATTGAACGATCGTTTATGGCGACAAATTTCTGAATTTCGGCTCTGTAACGACTTTCATCATTAAAAGACCATCGCGGTCTTTCGGACTGGCGGCTTTTCTCCCGACTCAGCCAAAGATCGATTGCTGCCAGATTCTCGGAGAAATGTGCCTCGACCTTTTGCAATTCAATTTGAAACTCCTGAAAACGCCTGCTTGCGACCAAGAAGCCTTTGAAATCCAATTTCTGAACGTCGGCTTCTTCGAGTCGATATTCTTGGGTGGCAGCAAACGACTTGCGCATGCTGCCTTTCCCCTTCTCTAAATGTTCTTTCATCACATTCAAAGCCGCCTGCGCAGCATTATTCATGGTACTGATCATCCTCCAGGAATGAATCAGCTCCAGGATTCTGCGCTGCTTTTCCGCTGACGGTCTGCGTGATATCCCAGCGAGTGTTTCGTACTCGTTGTCCTCGTCGTCGTCCTCCCCAGATGCATCGGTTTCATCAGAACGCTCATAAGAAATGGAAGACAAGCTCACTGCATCCTCGTCATCATCGTCGTTGACTTCGCCCCTATGGCCATTATCAATGCTATGGCTGGTAACTTCGTCTTTGCTGGTGATGTGCTGATCGTCAACATCATCGTAAAAATTGGTTTTCCAATCTGGGTCAGAAATCATAAAACGATATGTCCAATACCGGTCGAAAAAGTCGCCTTCGAACCGAAAACCGACGACAGCTTTGGCGATCTGAATTTGATTTCCATCTCCTGAAAGAGAAGGAAACACGATTTCCTCTCGTTTATGCACGTCATTTCTCTGCCCCCGATCCTGAAGATCATTGGAGCACAGCGTGTAATAGGAAAGCTGAAACTCTGTCTCCCATGTGTTGAGTTCCGCCACCGTATCCTCCCAGAAATAATTGTTGAAAGACTCATGGTTTTTCAAGAAGGCGTCTATCGCCCTTTTCTCTTTCCTCTCTGTTTTTGACACAGTTGAGGTACAAATTCTGTTACCAAGAGGATTTGACGACATAAATACCCAGATTCGCTTTTTGACATCTTGGGTCCTCCCTCTCGCAATAATTCTTGCGACATCCGCATGCGTTCTGATATCTTCCACGAAATTGTCTCCAAAACCTCTTTTTTTTGCAGAATTGGATAAGAAGTCGACCTTGAACCCGACGACCACCTGGCTGGCTGAAGGTTTCTCAGTGCCAGTCGACAGCGATGCGGCATATGCTGAGTTGTTTTCCGAGGCGGTGATGCTGGTGTCTGTGTCCTCTCGCTTCTCATATCCTTTTTTGGCCGGTACAAAAAAGGCTGGCAAGTTATAAAGCCACTCGTCTTGGAGCTCCACAATGTTCTTTGCGTCTGTCATATTATTGAACGGGAAAGCCTTTTTCATCGACAAGCGGGGAGGGGATTCCAGCTTTTGGAATCCTGAATCTTCGGCGGAAAGACCCTGTAGAAGTCTAGTGATTCGATTTGTGGTGTGCGACTGAGAGAGGTCATCGTCATTTGTCAACGGTGTGCTAGGTGATACGCTGGTTTCTGGCTGTTCAGCAGATTCAGATCCGTCGTTCAAGTCAAGGCAATACTTCCAAAGAACGTAAGGTATCTCGAATGTGTTTTCCCAGTAAATATCTCGCGTAAGTTCAGAATCGTAAAGAGTAGGCTCATGGTTGCTGTCTAGCTTCCCTGGGAAAAGTCCATTGGCTGAAGAGCTGCTCAACAGTGTCGAAAAAGCTTGCTCAAGCATTTCTTGAGGCGATCGTAGATTGATGGCTTTTCTCAGATATTGGCCAAAGATTATCGACAAAGCGAATCTCTGCGGGTCGTTCCAAGTTGTATCGTCATTGCCCTGGTGATGTCTTTGGCAGTCGATGGTGTTCTTCCATGCGTCGATCTTGTCGTGACACACGTCGTCTTCATTTTGCCCACTCCCAATACTGTCAATTCTGTCAACAATGTCTTCGGCCCCTAGCTTATCAAATAATCCCAGTTGCATCGCACTGAAAATTGCAGAATCCTTCGATTGAAGCAGGAATTCTGTGGAGAGGGGACTCCGTACTACCGCGATGGTCTCCCTCTTGGAAACAGGGTTTTGGGTAGTGAATCGCTTGAGTATGTTTTGCCGGACGCACTTCGAGGAATAATCTCCCATCGTCCGAGGCCGAACTCCTACCAGCTCAACAGATTTGATTGCTTGCCAAATCAATGCGTGGTCGTTAAGATGAAAACTACGCGTTGCCTTCTTGTCATAATGGGGAAAGGCGCAAACCTTCCTTTTGTCGAGCCTTTCCAGTTCCATGATCCAGTTGCTTGCAATTCTGCGGACAGCTGTGAATTGAGCGCCACTCAGGATACAGTGACTGGACAAACCTCCAATCTTTATCAAATGGAAAGGAGTATCGACGAGGGACTTCCCTACCAGGAAGTCCATCTGTTTCCATCCTTCGATCTTGCTACCATCAACCCAGTAGTGAGGGCAGAAACGCTTTCCGGATTTGTTTGCTCTTTCGAGAAGCCACTTCAGGTGACCCAAGCAGACTCGGAGAATGCGCTGTTTCATCACGCAGATGTACGATTTTGTTGACTGTTTGCCGCACTCGCAAACCCAATCTCCGGGCTGGGGCTTGAGATGCTGCGACTTGAAATGTGCAAGGGCTAACAATAAAATCTGAAATGCGTGACTGTGAAAACCAGGTTTTCTGTTAATCATTGTCATAATGCCAGATATTATGAGCGTTGTCAAACTTACAAACTTGCCCCCGTAGCTACTCGGTGACTGTCCACATCGCCACATGTGAGCGCAACAGCAGGCCTCCACTCGCCTCTAGTATGCCGCACGGGGATGCTACAAACAGACAAGATGTGCTCGAGGTTTCTTTTCAGGAAGAAGTCAATCGTTTGATCTTTGGATATGTCGTGTGGTTTCCAAGGCATAAGAAGCTGATCCCTCGTTTCCAGAACACTGCGCCATGATATAGATGGGAGGACCGGTATCTCGTGCTTTGGGATACATTCAATTGTATATGATAGAATGATTGTGTGCTTTGGGTGCTCTTGCCGTGCTTTAGGTTTGGGTGCTGACTTTCTATGGATTCGATAAGAAGACGGGGAAGCACCTAGCTTGCGAGCGACTGAGTCCTTAGGGGCAAGATTCTCAATGATAGGCTCTGCTTCGGTGAGGCTAGAATTTTCAGGGCGTCGGCAGTCGGGCTTGGTGTTGACAACTTTTTCGAGGGGTGATTTCGATGTTGGAAACCCTTGGCGGGACGAGTCATACTCGACAAACTCGAGAGACATTTCCTCGTTGAGTGCCCTAATGTAAAGAATGACTTTCTTATGAGAGTCCTCATGCACCCGAATGATGCAATTCCCCTGGCATTCATGTGAGTAAGCAATTTTATCATCTGCCTCTGCTTTGTTGAACTGATTGTCTTCATTTACGAAGTCAAGATCTCGGATCAGCAGGCCTGGCGTGACTTCCAGAGGTGGCAGCCATTCGTCTCCTCCTTCATCGCTTATTTCGAAAATCTGATAGATAGTGCCCTTGCATGCTAGATATTGAAGCGTAAGGTTATCACCATTCAGCAATTTTCGGTGGAAGGTCGGCCATCGATCGTTGGTCATGCCAACATCAGTATCTCGGCAATATACAGATTCTCGTCGACAATGTGAACTGATGTTGGGGCCAATGACATGTCGGGGCCGCATCTGTCTGCTGCTCTTTAGAAACCTCTCCAGGCGGTGTTCAACGTAGGAAGGGCCCGGAAGACCTGGAACATCTATACAAAAGCCTGTTCTCTCTCCAGGAAAATGTTGAGTGATTCGGAGCAAGCTTCCACTTGCGCCAACGGTCGCAGTGAGACCATCGTCTCCGAAGGAGAAGTAGCAATTGCGTCTCTTGCCTTTCTCAGCTGCCTGCTCTATAACCTCTGAAAGCTTTGTTATTCTTTGTTTCGACATGTTGTAAGTGCATTCGACATTCGAAGAGCTTCGGTTGCGGAAAAAGAGATCAGACAACGTCCGCAGTTCGAGCGAAAAGAGACTGGCATTGGCTGGTACTGTGTGGTAGTGTAGGACAGAGGTTGCTGCTGAGTCGCACGAGGAGTCTGAAGACGACTGCCTGCGGAGACCTCCGGGTGGGTTGGAAGCGTAGTGAGTTACAGCGGATGATCACCTCCATTTTAGTCATTGGAACGCAGGTAGCCATTCAATGCATCACCCTCGACGAGACTGCCATTGCAGCTTCATTGTGATTGGCTGTATGCAGAGCGTGGTTGAACGCGAGCGGTTCGTAGACCGTGAGCGGGCCAGGCCGTGATGTGGGAAAAGGACCTCGCATAAGAACTGGCCAATGATACACATCATCAAAGATGGCCGCATCGTGCATGACCCGTCAGCAAAATTTAGGACCCATGTCATGCCGGAGATGAGTCCTTCCTGAGTGAGAGCTGTGTTGGACTGTGGGCAAGGCGAGCGATTGCAATTCAACAGAAACTTCACGCGTATATAAGACTCATGGCGTTTCCATAGATTCACTAACTAGTACCAATGTGTTAACATTTTGCTGTGATTTCGGAGCTGTAAAACGTGTGCGAGCAAGCTCCTCAGAATTTGGCCAGAGGCCTCCAGTCTGACGGAGGTTCTATCTGCCGAGGAATTCGAAGCCAAGCTGATCATGGCTATTTCATTCCATAAGGGCTAGCATAATGAGACCACTGCCTCGAGAGAGGTTCAGAATGCAGTGAAGAAGCCAAAGGCGTATAAGTATCGGATCCCCCATAACCCTCATTGACCGAACCTGTTACTCACCCAGGAGCTTGCGTTCCGAATATTTGGGGACATAGAGCCCGATACCGGAGAGGAACTGAGCTAAAACAGAAGACACGAATAGAGTATAAATGGAGTTCAGAATCTACGTCCATAAATCTTGACGTGTTGTTGTTTTCCGTGAACGAAGAGGTCGCTAGTGGATCATGTTAACGGGTCACCTGCCTCAAAAAATGTCCAGACCGTGTAGAACAATACTCGGCGTTCTCGAGATGAGCCAATGTTGTAATACAGAGGTCACGAAACAGCGAAATCTCGATGAAATTTGGCCTTGACATGACGGTCTTGGTATTGCGCGAAGGAAGCCTTGGAAGGGGTTATGAATGCAGTGAAAAGGGTCGTATAGGGCTGAATTATCGGTGTCCTTGGCGATTGGCTGGTGACTAGCACGAAAGGCAGGTCTTGACAAGGCAACATCTTGACACAAGGTTGTCGTAGCCAATTGGGATTGTAGTCTAGTGGAACCGAAGATATTATCATAACCAGGCGGTCGATCAACCTAGCCTCTCTGTAAGCTATCTCTTTTGTAAACATGACAGTCATGACCAACCATCCAGCATCGATACCGCCCAGAACACTAGCTTTAATAGACAATTGAACCGTTGATTTTACTAGAAGATCACAATACTGCACAGAATGAGCTCAGATATAAGACTCGTGATCCTAGTCTTCCATCGGGTTGGAGCAGCAGATCCACCACTCTGACCGATGAATCTGTGCCTTGAGCCACATGTCCCTCAGACTGACGCCCTCGTAACGCGCAGCATAGAACCAAGCATCCAGGCAGTAGACTGGCACTTTGATGCGACCTCGATACTCCTCTACATCAGATATAGTAGATCCTACTAAGGCAGGCTTCCAGCCGGCGTCATATACCCAAACTTAGAAAGTCTCAGCGGACGGGCCGCCGGGGTATCTTCAAAGGTCCTCAGATATGCACTCGTCGTTGATCATGATGAAGGTGTTTCGCAGGATGCCAGGGAATAGAAGCGACTCTCTGAAGTCTTGAAAATGTCTGCAAAATCATTAGTAGAACTGCCAGTCCGACAGAAGACGTGATGTCTCTTGGATTGCGTCCCATGTTTCATCCCAAATGTGACCGTATTTCCACTCGACCTCCCTGCTTCTGTGAAAGACGAAGCCCCAAGGTTGCTGAGAATCGGCGATCTGACGAACGCAAGCAGGAGGCGAGTGGGACATCCGCTCCCAGATTGCGTTGATAGCATTACTCTGGTCTCTCTCCATTCGAGCAAGTTCTCTGGTGTTATACACTCGAGCTGTTGGATGATCACTCTGGCCTTTCCTCGGGTTGCCCTTTGGTCTTCGCTACGGACAATCCCCCTCGCGAGCTCGTCTGGCGTTTGGAGCTCTTCCTCCCGTAACCGTGCGTCGTATATGTCTTGCAACGTTGCGCCGTCCTCTGGGCAGCAAGCGTCGCAGACGATTGACTTGAAATCATCTAACAGAGGGGGCAGGCAGCCATCGTTGGGCTTTATGGCGGTTGCGACCAGGTGGGTATAGGAACTAAACGCGCCGTTGTTGATGAGTTTGACAAAAGCTTCCTCATCAAAGGGGTGAGGCCGATGGGTATGTATGGTATACTATGGTGTTATGGGCAAATTTAACCCCCTGGCCGTGTACTTCTCCACAGACAGGGCATGCCAGATAAGTGGCCTGGTAGGTGACACGTTGTCAGCCTTGTATCTCGAGGCAGAAGCAGTCCAGGTCGTGGTGATTCTCAAATATCAGGTGAGGAGTACCACATATCCGAAGATATGGCACGAAGCAGAGCTCCGGCGACGAGACAAAATGAACAGCACGATAAATATGTTGGGCTGTATGGAATTTGCTTACTTGCGGAACAATCTATATTTATTGGAGATGCCGAATTCGGGCAGTGGGCATGAACCTATCATCAAGCATCCATCTCAGCAACCGAGTCTACTCGTCCTCCAGTCTATTGACCATTCAACACCCGTCATAAGTCAGAGACATTATGACTATCGCACGAGCACAATCTGTCTATAGCACACCTCTATTTTCTCTTCATCTGTCGTGGAAAGCAAGCGGAATATCACAACCGCAAAGCCTTCGCCGCCTTCGGTCCCGGTCCGACAACCCCAAACCTCGCCACAATCATTAACACGGGCGTGAAGATCGCGACCAGAACCTGAATGAAGATAATCTCAGCATACAGCTTAACCGTCCTCTTCAGACCCTGATCTTTCCTCTCCCTCCTCATCTGCCCCAACCGCGACCCTCCCTCCTTCGTCGCCGCCGCTGACCCCTCGTCACCCTCCCACCTTCTGCATACCTCAAGGAACGCTTCGGGCTCGTCCGTGATGACACCGTCCACGCCCTGCGCGATGCTCCACTCCATCCACTCCTCCTCGTTGACAGTCCACACAAACAGCCGCCGGTCGTGCGCCTTGAGCACGCGCATGAAGGCCTTGCCCATGGGCCCGACGAGGGACTTCTGGAACATGTTGAAGGAGAGGAACTCCTGCGGCAGAAACTTGCGAGCGAAGATTGGGGACCAGGAGATGAGGGCGACGGGGTACGTGGGGACGTAGGCTGTGCAGTGGTTGATGTACGGTTGCTGGCGTGCTGTGTCAGTCTCAAAAGTTCAGCGGGTGGGGAGAGGAAGTACGTACGTTCCAGCATCCGAATATGACCCTCTTGTTCCATGGCACAGGACCCGGCGTCGATGCCAGGACCTGCGCAACGCGACTCAACAGCTCCGGCGCGGGGTCATCAGTCTGCAGCACGCATCAGCCTCCATCATTCCCCCTCTCACTTATACAGCGCCAAAAGAACCCACCTTAATATCAAGCAACACCCAAACGCTCTCCCTCTCCTTCCCCCCTTCGGCCAGAAACTCCAACAAGTCGCTCAACCGCGGCATCCTCTGCCTCGGCTCGCGTATCGTCTCCAGCGAGCTGATATACTCCCACTCGCACTCATTGATCTTCTTGTCGACGTCGAAGCACCGCTTCAGCGTGCCGTCGTGCGAGAGCACCACGACGCCGTCCTTGGTCAGGTGCAGGTCCGTCTCGAGGGCGTGCGCGCCGGCGTCGAGCGCCGCGCGGAAGGCGAGAAGCGTGTTCTCGGGGTAGAGGGCTTTGTAGCCGCGGTGCGCGATCGCCTGCGGGAGCGTCGTCGCGGGGGAGGAGGAGGGGCGTTGCAGGGCGCGGGTGAATTGGGCTGCGCACGAGGTTGGATTGTTAGCCTTGTAGAGCGAGAAGAGAGGTAGGAAGGTGGTGGAGGTACCAGACGGGATGCCCTCTGAGAGGAGCGGTTTCGTTTCTGAAACCATGGCGATGTATGTCTTGCTAGTATCTGTAGAGTCTAGATGGTGTATATATGGTATGCTAATCGTAGCTCAGTAGCTTCTATCGTCGAGTCGGGAGCACCGTAGCCGTCGGGGAAATCGACAATCGCAACGGCCAGCGCTGAGGGGGATGAGGAGACAGATAAGTGTATGATGTAGTGTATTAAATCTATAATAAGAAACACAAGGAGACACCTTTAAATCATGATCGGGAGAGTCATCATCAGCAAGAGTGAAGTAGCCTAGGCCCGTTTGTCGTCGGTGGAATTGAAGAGCCCGTACCGCTCGCGGTAGTCGCCTGCGTCGGGTGATGGCGATTGACAGAGCTTAAGACCGCGCGGTGTGGGGATTGGATAGTTGGAAGCCTCGGGATGAATGCGGTGCCAATTGAAGACGGGGAAGCCCACGTGCTGCTGGTAGTGGGGTGGAGCCAACCAAGCTTGGGAGGAGCTGGAGCTGCAGGAAGCTGGAGCGGACTTTGCAGCAGCAGCTTGCGACCCCGCGGGATCCAATCGGCCGCAACGGCATGGGACATGCTGGTCGGGCTTCCCAGTTGCTTAAATCCGTCTCCGCTGCGGCGTGCAGTAGCGCCGTCCACGGGAGGTCACATATGGAATCCCATTGCGTACATCATCGTATCGATTTTGAGTAACGGTGTCTGTTGGTGTGAAAGCATGTTTATTCATTGATTCCCGCTTTTAACCGTATGGTCTCTAATCTACAATTCCTTGCGCTGGAGGGAGGGAGCCTAATGATGTGCTATAAGTTTACTCATGGATGTATCCCCTTTTAGTAGCTAATCGGCTGAGCCCCCGACGTGAAATAACCCAATGTGTTGATGTGCCAATCAATGCCAGTATTTGATCTAGTCGATCTCGACATCGATATCGAGGTCCAAAGCTCCGATGATGTCGTCGTCCATGAGAGGTTTGTGGATGGTGGGAATGCCCTTCTTCTCCTGGTTCGCGGCCTGCAGCTTGGCCAGATGGGGCAGTAGGGACCCTGACTTCTGCGCTCCAAGTTGAGGCGTGCCGTTGGCCGGGGTACTTGCGTTGCTGCCGTTCGTGCTGGAAGGCTTCTTGACGCCGTCTTTGACATCGTGGATGAATTTGGCCTTGGTACGTAGGCGCCGCGACAGGTCGTTCTTGATGTCTTCGCCTCTCTCCAGCGCGGCCTCGAGCTTGCGCGCCTCGGCCTTCTCTTTGAGCTGCGCCTTGCGGACATTTTCCGCGTTCTGCAGTCGGCGTTGACGGTTGATGTTGGCGAGGCGGTCCTGCTGGGAGGTCGCGCTGGGCTTGGATTGGCTGTCGCTGAGGCTGGTCTTGAATGCGAGAACATTGGTCTTCAAATCGTCGAGTTGTTCTTGAAGATCTTCCGCTTTCCTGGTGTTGCCCTGAGCCCGAGCAATGTCGATGTCCTGCGCGAGACGCTCGCGGATCTTGGGGTCGAACTTCTTGCGGAGAGCGGACTTGCGCTGGATGCGCTCGTCGATTTCTGTGGTTGTGAGGTGGTAGTTGACGAGGTGGTTGATGTCGTCAATCTTGTCGAGGAGTGTCTGCTTCTTCGGCAAGCTGAGGCCATCTGCTTGGATGACCTTTTCGTAGCGGTTGTACTCGCGCTAAGACTGTTAGATTGTGCAATCACTGCCGGGCCACGGCAAACTTACCTCTGTGAACGGCCTGTCAGACAGGAAGATAAAGGGAAATGGTCTCTCCGCCTTGCCGTGCGCAGCCAAGACGTACTGGTCAGTCACAAACGAGCCACCTGGGCCGGTCATGGCGTACGGCTTGCCCACAGTGATGGCTGTAAATGTCAGAAAAAGGGCTCATCCATCAGAAGCGACCAGCATACCTTGGATGCGCGCCATGCGATACTCGTCCGCACCAGTCTTTGGGTCGGGCCCAAGACTAATGCGAACGTAGCAACCGATCATTGCGGACTCAAAGCCAGGATTGAAGCAATACTCCGCAAACCGACTCTTGCCCACACGAATCCGCTCAAAGTCGCGCAAGTCAGGCGGCGGCAACTCGCGCGCCACAATCTCGTCCTCAGGCGACCTCGTCTTGCGACGACGGCGGTTGCGCTCGTCGTAGTCATCCTCGCCGTCGCTCTCGTTGCGGCCACCGTAATCGTCGTCGCGCGGAGACTGGTTGCCCCTCTGGCGATCCTCTTCCCTCCTACGAGCACGATCGCTCTTCTCCGCGCGGGCGCGACGCAGCGTATCTATCGCCGACGTCTTACCATCCGTGCGAGGACGCGATGTCTTACGCGCGCCATCCTCCAGATCAGCGGCGTCCGCGCTGCGCTTTTTCAGCTTCTGCTTCTTCTCCTCGTTCTCCCTCTCGCCGACGAGCTGGCGCAGCATGCGGTTCTGTCGATGGCGCTCGATCTCGGCCTGGCGTTCTGCGAGCAATGACTCCCTCTCAACCTCGCGCATCGCCATCACCTGCTCCTTCTCGGCAGCGCTCCTAAACATTCCGTCGACGGGGTACTTATCCTCTTCGTCGTCATCGTGGGCGCCGGCGCGGCCGCTGTGCTGCTCGGCTTCGGAGTCGGACTCGTCCATTGCGGCCGACCCTATGGAGTTCGGGCTGCCAATCGCGGATGATCTGAGGCGCATTGTTAGTGATGTGATGAAGAGATGATCCGAGATAATGATGATATAACAAAAGAGATTGCGCATGAATGGCGCGCAGATGCCAGGTTTGACAGGCAGTGGAGGGCTGCTTGGAGGTGAGGTGGTTGATAGCAGGTGAAAGTGTGACCAGACCAGATCCTCAAGGGGAAGAAACTTACGCCTCGCCTTCTTCTTCCGAATCCTCCCCTCCTGTGCGCTTCTTCACCTTCTTTGCCACTGATTTCTTTGCTGCTGCCTTAGGGGGAGGTGATGCGGATGGCGCCCTGCTCTCGGCCTCTGACATCACCTCCTCCTCATCTGAGGACTCTCCACCTCCGGCAAGAGCCAAAAGCTCATCGTCAATGTCGGCCATTGTGCGTTATGGAAGGAACTCGATTAGGGGGAACAAAGGCGACTTCGACGGCTTCGAAAGGTTTCTCGAGAGATCGCGACGGAACCCGGTCGTCGACGCGACTAGGTGTCGATACTGTTGTGCTTAGAGATATTGCGATGTAATCGGTGGGAGAGGCGCGAATTCGATTGAAAAGAAAAGCAAGAGACTGTCGGAAACGGGCGATTGGCGATGTTGGTGAGGTGGGAAGAAGAGCTTGAAAGTCTGGCTCCTATTCACTGCCTTCCAGGTCGGGACACTGTCGTCTGCAGCTCGCGTCTGATTGGCCAATATTATGTCATACAGCTGCACAGAACAATGGGCCGTCGGAGCATCGGCCCCTTCCCATCCGATCTGGCGTGACGTCAACCAATCATTGCCCGTAGTGCGCTCAGCATCCGCCGGGCTAAATCATTCGATATCATTGACAGCTTCATTTGCGACTGGACTTCGGCCGAGTGCATGCTCCGAGCTGGGGCTGACATTGTCACTTCACAACCACACAATGGCGTCTGTACGAACGTTCTTGAGGCCCTGTAGCGGCATTGCAAGGCGAACGGCGCATCATGCGCATGCGCCGGCTCTGTGCATTTCGCAGCGACAACTTTCGACAACACCCAGGTCGCAGGCTGAAGCAACCAGCCAAGATCGCCCGCGTCGCAAGCCCTTGACCCAGGAGCAGAAGGACTTTCTGTCCTCAGCTGTGCGTCATTGAGTCTCTCATTCGTCTCCAGAACCATTACTGACACATGCGAAACAGCTCCGGGTAAACCAGGCTGGAGAACTCGCAGCGACGCTCATTTACACCGCCCAAACCCCACCACTCGTAAATCGACACCCTCACCTCCGACCCTTGATGGCGCACATGTACGACCAAGAAGAGGGGCATCTTAAGACCTTCAACTCTCTTATCCACAAGCATCGTATACGTCCGACTGCCCTGTATCCCGTGTGGCAGGTCATGGCCACAGGTCTGGGCTGGGGTACGGCTGTGATGGGTCGCGAGGCAGCCATGGCCTGCACGGAGGCTGTTGAGACTGAAATTGGCGACCACTACAATAACCAGATCCGAACTCTGTTAGAGATGGTCACTGAGTGGGAGGCGGAGGGGTATGAAGTTGGCCCCGAATTTTCGGAGCTCATCAAGACGCTGCGGAGGATCAGAGACGAAGAACTTGAGCACCTCGACCATGCTGTCGAACATGACGCCAAGAAGGCCGAGCCGCATTGGCTGCTGACTGGCGTCATTCGCGCGGGCTGCAGAGGGGCCATTTGGGTCAGCGAAAGAGTATAAAGTCTGTAGTGTAAGAATGTGTATAATACATGTAGAAGAACAAAAGGCCAAAGCCGGCAAAAGCGGTAAAAGAAAGAGAGAAAAAAGTAACCGATTCCAGAACGCCAATTGTCCACCCTCCGACTCCGTTTTTTGCACACGTTTCCCTGGTGTCTCCATCTTGAATGGCGTTTCCGTCGTCTCCTTTTCTATCGTCTGTAACGGACCCTGAGTTTTGCTTCTGTCGTCGGTAAGGCACATTTAGCCAATAGTCCGCAACGTCTAGCCAAAAAGGGGCACCAAAAAAGGCTTCATCCACTAGTTACTACAAAGTGCGTTAGCATCACAGTTCTGGGGTAAGAGTCCACGAAAACTTACTAAATTTGTAGAGGTGCAACGCCGTCAACTTGGAAGCCCCAGTTTCCATTTTGCTCTTCCGTGAGCAGCCAGTCGTAAGGGAACTGTACGACGTGGCCTTGGATGAGATTCAACAACTCTTCTGCTTCCGCTCTCGGAAGCACCTCCTCGGGCGGCTGACCGCGCCGACTGCCTTTAGTAGTGGCTCGTCGGCGGCGTTTGACCGATCCTTGAGCTTGCTGCGCCGGGGTGCTGACATCTCTGGACGGGGGCTTTTCAAGAGGAGAGAACGTTGTCTTCCGTTCTCTGCTCTTCTCACGGGCAGGATCGAGCAGTCCGTCAGGAGCAGGGGAGCCAACTTCGAAAGCCGGGAATGGTACATCACCCGCGGGAAGAACAGGTGACGGGGCTTCTGGTGATCGAAGGGCAGCTTTCTCGTCATTCTTCTCTCTTTCGTCCGACTCCGCGGTACCGCCTCTGTGGTTGTCGCTTCCAGGAATAATGATGGTGGGATGAGGCAGCTTCTCTTCTGTCTTCTCAGCCGCCGCCTTGACGACAGCAGCAGGACCTGGTGCGCCTACTCCAGCACCGCCGCCAGTGACGGGGGACTGGTGCCGAGCCAGATTTGGGTCTTCCTCCGTCTTCGTATTCCCCTCAAGGCTCTCTCTGAAACGTTCTGCGTACTGTGTAGCCTGTTGATAGTCAGGCCAGGTGAGTACTTCCGAATCAGGCATGCACCGGAACACTCGGCGATACAGCTTGGTGTTGTTTTCTGCGACACGGTTCCAACAATCGTCGAAGAATGACGAGTTGATCGGATCACGCATGCAGTCCTTGTCGATATGTGCCTGCCTGATGTCTGCAGCGAGAGGATGAAGAGGTCCATTTGTCGGTTGGCCGTTCTGATCGAGGTGAACTGGAGGACCACCGATATCAGTGTCATCCACAGCGGGTAAGGTAGGAAGTCCAGCGATGCGAGGCAGGCCAAGCTGGTCGGTTGTGCGTCGATTGAGAGCAGGAATCGGCGGCAGCGCATCGTTGCTGACACAATTATCCTCCTCGATATGATGCTCGACCGAGGTCTTGCGCTCGTGCGGCTGCATGGGAGTCTCCAGGGTACCCTTGCCTTCGGAAAAGACGCCATTGACGAGCACTTCACGACCATTGACGATGACAGAGTCGCGGCCTTGGTCAAGACCGAGCTTCTCAGCAGTCTTCCAGTGATCCTTTCCGTAGCCAGCGATATCAAGAGCATGATCCTTATTGTTCATGACTCGAGGGTCAAGTTCCTTGTCCTTAGAGGACGACGCCGATGATACTTCGTCTGCAGCCTCGTCAGGCACGGCAGTGGCATCGTGGTTAAAGCTGGGAGTTTGTCCAGGAAGATTTGGCTTTGCTGGTTTCTCATTCGAATGCCCGCTTGGTCCGGCGACAGGTGGCGTCTCGTCGTCATCCGCATAGATCTCGTCCATTTCGGCCTCGTACTCGGCCTGCCGGTCCATTTCAGCCTGTCTCTCTTCCTCAAGTATCTCATCCACATCCAATCCAAGATGCTCCCGCATGAGACGGAGACGCAGAGTATGGGCAAAACGACCGACGCGGTAAGGCCTGCCAGCCATCGTCGACCAGATCATATCGGTATCACGGACGACTGCAGCGAGCTCGGAGTCACGACTTCCCAGCATAGAGCGCTCGTTGATGTTTGCAGAACCGATGAGAGCCACGCGATCGTCCACGATGATACACTTGGCGTGGATGTACAGCTGTTCTGTCACCAAAGCGTTCCTGGCGCCGATCTTGCCCCACTGTCGCAAGCTGTAGAATTGGATGTAGTCCTCTGGTTCAATGCCCGCAGCGCGAAGGCGTGAGAAGATGGAGCCGTCGCCACGGCAAATACTGCGATACTGGCACTGGAGAATCAGTCGCACACTGGTGCCTTCCTGCTCGTCGACAGTGTTCTGGAAACCAGGCATCAGAGGAATGATGATGCACGCCTTCCAGTCTTCTCCTTTCTCATGAGCTCGGATGATGCGCTCGACCAGTGCATCGCCAATGCGGTTGACGATCTTGGTATTGAATGCCTCGGTACTGGTGATAAAAAACTGGTTCTCAATGTAGACAAAGTGATCAGAGTCCTCAATCATCTTGATGTAAGCATTTTGGATGCTGCATTCCGTGTGCTCGATACCAAGGGACCAGTTGGTTGAGGATCTCAAAATCTGGACCTCACAGGTACCGGTCAATCCAAGAGCATCAAGCTCTGCCATCTTGGAGTCGGGTGGTGGAAGCAGGAAAGGCAGAGGTCTGGTCGTCTTTCGTCCTCTCTTGACGTAGTTCCATCGCTGGACGAAGTGACGGGTCAAGTCTCTGGCAGGCTGCCCAACGACCTGCATGGCAATATCATGCCAGGGCATTCTGGGTACCTTGCTTCTGTCGTACATCTCCTCATACGGTTCATCAAGCTTGAAGAAATCCTGGACTCTAGGGTTCGAGTAATCCTTGCCGGGGAAGAGCTGCACATGCTCCGCATCCTTGGGCTGCTCGCTCTGCTCGAAACCTGTTGGCTTATCGTCAGTGATCGGATGTTGCGGGCAATCCCATCGACCGAAGCACAGATCAATGCCGCCCACAAAGGCTACATCATGGTCGACGATGACAAGCTTCTCGTGATGAGCGAAGAAGAACTGATTCTTCTTGAACTGGTTGGGCGATCGCTGGACGAATATATTGGGGTGGAGGTTCAGAAGGGAGTACTTGGTGTACTCCGAGTCGATTGGAATGGCGGCTTCAACGTTACGGTAGACGATGACGAAGACCTTGACACCTTCGCGTGCCTTTCGCTGAAGCAGACGATCCAAACGCCACTTCTGGCTGATAGCCGCAGGTCGACGCATGTACAACTCAGGACTCAACCACCAGTCATGAATGTAAATAACGTCGCGTGCCATGCTAATAGCCCGCGAAACGTTCCACATGTAGTCTCTTCCGTCCACGAGCCACTGTGCGAAGACGCCGTTGCGGATGGGGGCGAAGCTGTCGAAGCGGTTGATGTCATGCCACTTAGTTTGCTTGAGCATCTCTGCTATAGAGTCTTCGAACTGCTTCATGATATGCTGGTTCCTCGAAAATAGCTTGACTTTCCGCTCGGCGGTGTGTAACGTCAGAGTGTGGTGCTTTTCCGTGTCAGGCTCCTCAATCAGGTCGATCTCCTTCTCTTCGGCCTTGGCCTTCCCCTTGCCCAGCTGCTTCAGACCGTTCTTCTTAGAAACAATGCGAAACTTGGAATCCACGAGGTATACGTCGTAGACGTTCATCTTCTCAGGTGATTCAACGCAGACAATGTAACTGGACCGCACGAGGAACCACTTTCTGCTGTGACGGGCAATAACCTTCTTTGGCGTCAGTACTCGGCGGAAGTCCATTCCTTTGGATGATTGAATGTGGAGGTAGCATTCTTTGCCGTGGTAGCTGCCTTCAGCCGCCAGGCGCACACCCAGCGCAGACAGCTCCAAGAACTTGCAAAGACGGTTGCTGTCGGCGCGGAACATGAGCCATCGGATCATGTCCTGCAGGTACTTCTCGAGGACTCGTCTTTGTCTCTCAAAGTAGCGCTTCCGCGCCTGGGCCAATTCGATTTGGTTCTCTGCTCCTGAATCGCCCGGGTCAGTCAAGCCGGTAGACTTCCTGCGCATACCCAGCATGCCGAGACGGGACTTTTTCCTATTGCCTGGCCCTGCGCGGCCCTCCCACTCGCTGGCAGTCCCCTCTCCTGCAGTTGCTTCCGCAGCAGTGCCTTCAGCTCCAGTCTCATCGCCTCTGAGGCTGGCAGCTCTAATGCTAGCCCCATCGTCGTCGTCGCTGTCGTCCTTGTTGCGGGCCGCACGAAGGTACGGGAAGGCGCCCCATGGAAACTTGGGCATCTTAGGTCGGGCACCCACGTCGGCGCGCCCATGCAAGTACTTATCGTTGCTCATCGCCAGTTTGTAACGGACATGCAGGTTATAGACGTCTTTGAGCGTTCTGATGATGGTCCATTTCATGCGCGACGGGCCGCTGCCGTATTCCAAGTCCATGGTGAACACCCAGTGGCGCTCGCTATCGTCGTCCTCTGATTCTGGCTGGCTGTCTGTAATACGTAGGCGCACTTGCTCTAGGAGAACCGGTATTCTCTTATTGCCGTGTTCGTCTCTCTGAATCATACTGGCAAGCATGAGAACGGCGGGGGCTCCGGCTCGCAGCTCGGCCATGAGTTCTGCTGATTTGGCGAAATCGAAACGGTCCTCCTTCTTCTGCCTAAGAAGTTTCAAAGTGTTCTTGACGTACTTCCATGTCGACGCTCTCTCGCCACCAAAGAAGGGTCTCTTGGGCGTCGTTATCGCGTCTCCGTCCGACACACCTCCGCCGCCGAGAACTGTGATCCGGCGCATGTGACCTCTTCTGCCAGGGCCGAGGGGGCTTTCGGTGCCATCCGCTCTACGGGACCGCATCCACGATGGGCCAGCAAGCTGGTCGCGTCCTTCACCCTCTGACATGCCGTGCTGCTGCTGCTGCTGTTGTTCGGTGTTGTCAGGCATGGAAAGCCGTCGGCGAAGCGCACCCATGCGTCCATACCCAACAGGGGAGTCTGGACCAGGCAGGTGCGACTGCCTCAAGTTAGGAGTGCTGGGCACCGACATATGGGGCTTGTCTTTCTTCGATCTGCGCATTCTCCTCTTCTTCTTGGGTTTGATAGTGTCGGTGGCATTGCCCTCGTCGGCTGTCTCAACATCAGCGTCGGCATCGCTTCCGCCGACAACATCATCCTCGTCCAAGGTCCCTGGTATTCTCGGGCGACCAGATGTGGGCGAGTTGCTCCGGGAAGGCGTGCCCGAGTCGTTCAAATTGCCTGAGCTACTCGTCTTGAGAGTCTGCAGGCTTCCAGAACCAGTCAACTGCTTCAGCTTGGTCATGAATGCAGACCCAATGGACTTGCCGCCATCTTCCCACGAAGGGTTCCGCGAGTGACTGGCCGGGGGCTCCAAAACCTGATCCGTCCTAGCAAACTGCACGCTTCGTCGGTCGGTCGGGGACGCAGGCTCGGGAGAGTAAGTGCTGTGTTCTGGCATCATGGGCAGTCCTCCCGGGGTTTGTCTGGCACCGATGCTGTCGGCGGAATTCAGGTTCGGCAGTGTCGGGCGCTTGGCGGGCTGTTGAACAGGAGATTGGCTATCGTGAGGCACGCCTCCATTGATGTAGTCTCTTGCCTCGGTCGTCGGATCAATCGCGTAGATGGTCGATCTGGGGGAGGGAAGGTCCTTCGGCGGAGGAGCAGGCGGGCCGTCTTTCGGTGGAGGAGGGGGAGGAGCGAGGGAGTCGGGCGCGCCTGCAGTTCCCGTCGCGGCAGGAGAGGCCGCACGAGGGCTGCGTGTCATTGGTGAGATGGACTCATCTCTGGCCGTCGTGGCCATTGTGTCTCGAGTGGAAATTCTGGAATTCCACAGGGCGAAGAGGGGGTTCGAGGGTGGTACAGACAATGGGAAGGACTGGAGCTAAGACCGAGACACCATCTGTAACGGTAACGGCAACGGCGCTCGTCGTCGATCACCAACGTCTGGAAAAATAAGAACTGATCGCTGCAAGAATGACGGGTTTGGGGGGAAAAGAGCGGCCTGTCAAACTGAGCTGCGAAAATCGTGGAGGTAGGTGAGGTGAGGTTGCTCCTCCTGCAGGTCGAGGTGCAGGGTTGCGGACGATCGGTATTGCAGTTGCGGTGTCTTGAGCCAGGCAAGGACCTTGGGGGCACGTTTGGGAGCACCAAAGACGCGGACAGGGAGAGCAACGGGGTGCAGAGTGGGCAGGTTCAAGGGAGGATGCCACGGTGCCAGTCCCAGCAGCCCGACCCTTGTGACGGACTGCAAATCCCCAGCCAAGTAGCACCGTTAGTGGAGGGAGAGGCTTAATTGCTATTTGGCTCCGAGCCAATGGGCGCTGCCGGGCTACGAAATAGGGGCGCAGGGGGGACCCAGCGGCTCCCTCCGGGGCGCACCAGTCCGATGTCACGCCCAATCTTCAGTGGCTCCCGCGCTGTTTGGGCCCAGTTGGGCCACACGCAGCTGATCGAATTGGCATTTGACACCAGCCCTTCGTCTTCGGCAAGTGAGCAGCGAATGACCTCTGATTTTGAAGGATGGGGGAAGATTTGGGAGGGCAGAATTCTAGTTTTTGGTGTGCATATACAAGCTGCAGTTCCGGCTCTAGCTCCTCCAGATCAACAAGGGCCTTATTCTGCCCAACTCCCGGCGGAACAGACTTCTGAGGGCTGTGCGGGCTTGAAATGACGGCAAGAACAGATGGTGCACATCCCGCAATCTATTATGGATCAATATCTCTATTATCTATCTCGTTCCGCGAAATGGGGGCCAGGGGACTCACTGACACCCGCGTACCTTACGGAAAGACTGGAGTCCATACGATGGATGCAATAGGGGTTCGATTAGATCTGAGACGTAGGACCGCGTCAACATGCCTACGTTTTAGCTTGCTCAATTAGCTTCGTTGTGGCAGCAAGCCGGCATGGAATGCAGATTAGTGACAGCTGCGACAGAGGCCTCATCAAAGACCCAATCAATCCATTGTGTGTTTGAAGCGGGCTTCAAATAAAGAGAGGCCTCAGAGGGGGATCGAGTCGTTGTGCCAATCTCGACAAGGCGCGGCCAATTAACAAAGACCCAAGATCGTCCCTGACTAGTCTGCGTGGGCTGTTTCACCGTGAATGAAAGAAATGGGGATTCAATCATTCGAGTCTCCGTGGCTTGTAAACCGAGGCGTCTTGGGATTTTGCGGCGTTAGAGGGGGGTACCCTGGCCATAGTTGCTGAGAGCAGAGGCACATGCGCCCAATGGGACCGCGCCTCGCGTCTCGCTTATCGATAAGGATCCGGGTCGCGTCAAACATCACGAACTCCCGGTGACCGACTGTTTTTGAAGCCCAACGCCGCCGAAGCCCCGCCACCATATCGCAAGATGCCGAGGTTTGTCGCACACTTCCCCCGTTCATTTGATGCATCGCCGTCTAACGTATTGTCTACAGGGAAATTATTACCGTCCAGGCCGGACAATGCGGCAACAGCAGTACGTTACCCCGCCATCTATTGCTCTCCCGCATCGACCCAGCTGCGAACGGGCAGCCAGCGCCGACATTGAGACTGACACGATACAGTTGGAAGCCAGTTTTGGCAGCAGCTTTGCCAGGAGCACGGAATAAACCAAGATGGAAACCTGGAGGACTTTGCGACCGAAGGAGGCGACCGAAAAGACGTGTTCTACTATCAGAGTGACGACACAAGATACATCCCGCGAGCCATTCTAGTCGATCTCGAACCAAGAGTAGGTGCCTTCACGGCGACGAAGGAAGGGCTGTTACTAAAACCTTGCAGGTAATCAATGGCATTCAAACTGGCCCATACAAGAACATCTACAACCCTGAGAACTTCTTTGTTGGGAAGAATGGCGTCGGCGCCGCGAATAACTGGGGTGACGGATACCAGACGGGTGAGGTTGTCTGCGAAGACATTATGGAGATGATCGACCGCGAGGCCGACGGCAGTGACTCTCTGGAGGTATTCATCATTTAGGAACGTCCTGGGCTTTGCTGACGTTCAACAGGGCTTCATGCTGTTGCACTCAATAGCTGGCGGTACCGGATCCGGTCTAGGATCCTTTCTCCTCGAGCGACTCAACGATCGATTCCCCAAGAAGATTATCCAAACATACTCCGTCTTCCCAGACACGACAAACGCAGGAGATGTTGTTGTTCACCCTTACAACAGCGTACTCGCCATGAGGAGGCTGGTACAAAATGCCGACTCCGTCGTCGTGTTGGATAACGGAGCCCTGTCACGCATTGCAGCCGACCGACTTCACGTTCAAGAACCCTCTTTTGCCCAAACCAACCAGCTTGTGAGTTCTACATTTGACAATGTTACTATCGCTTTGGCTAACGTGTGTCTTTAGGTATCGACTGTCATGTCCGCAAGTACAACCACATTGAGATACCCCGGATATATGCACAACGACCTAGTCAGCATTCTGGCTTCGTTGATTCCTACCCCACGATGCCATTTCTTGATGACAGCATACACGCCATTCACCGGCGACCAGGTCGAACAGGCCAAGACGGTGCGAAAGACAACGGTGCTGGACGTCATGCGCAGACTGCTGCAGCCCAAGAATCGTATGGTCTCGACGCAGCCCGGGAAGAAGAGCTGTTACATCTCCATTTTAAACGTCATCCAGGGCGAGGTGGACCCCACAGACGTTCACAAGAGTCTGCTTAGAATCCGGGAACGACGACTGGCAACTTTCATTCCCTGGGGCCCAGCCAGCATTCAGGTGGCCCTGACGAAGCGGAGCCCCTACATCCCGATGGCCCACCGCGTCAGCGGTCTGATGCTGGCCAACCACACCAGCATTGCAACTGTGAGTATCTTGCTGATTTTGAACCTCAATTCCGCTTGCTGACAGATGCGCAGCTCTTCAAGAGAATCGTCAGACAGTACGACGGCATGCGGAAGCGCAATGCATTTATGGAAGGGTACAAGAAGACGGCGCCATTTGCAGAGAACTTGGACGAGTTTGACGAGGCCCGCGAGGTGGTGCAGGACCTTATTCAAGAGTACGAGGCCGCAGAAGATGCCGACTACCTGAACCCCGATACTGGAGACAAGGCGACTTCAGCTGAAACCGACAAGAGGATGGGTTAAGTCAGGCACGATTGCGAGAGGGGAGGTGGGGTTTAGAGCTGATGAGGGGGAAAGGAAGCAAGGCTGGGATAGCATCATACGTGGGTGCATCACAACGTCGATTTGTTGGTTCAGGCGGCCTTCTGGCACTATCGGGAAGGGATCGGACATGACCTGGCTGGCTTTTTTTGCCGGGAATTAAGGCGTTCAGGGCTGAACAAGATTACGAAACCAACCCCCCAATAAACTTGCATCTGGATGAGGCAACAGCTGTCAAGGCACATGCGCGTAGACCCCTTTGGAAGCCCAAGGAGCTTTTCCTCCTGGAGGCTCTGGAGCAATTTTGTCATTGATCGACCATCTGTTGTTTGAGTTCCCCACCTACCCGCCAAATCGTCGATGATACTGGAGCGTGTGGTTCGCAGCTCCACTGATGGTGTGCAAAGAGCCGCAATTGCCTCTGCTTGACGTCATTGACGTCAGCGTCAATTGAGCATAGTCCCTGAGGACCAGACCCGGAGGACTCTGGGTATCTTAACATAAAAGACGTTCAATCGAAGCCAGATGAATGTATTCTTTTCCCCCTCATCACATCCAAAAGCAAACCAAAGCCATTGAAGAAAACCACGCTACGGAATATTTCTCCAAATCTTTTAAAGTTCTTCCACGCAGTAAGTCGCATCGTTCCCCTCCTGGGGCTAGCTGTCTGGAGCTTCGACCAATAACGAACGAGCGCTAACTCACCACCCCTTCCCTAGCTCCAAACCACTACCACTTCACATCACCCGCCAAAATGACCCAGTCCAAGGCCGACAAGATCAACGAGGTCCAGCAGAACCTCCCTCTCCCCGAGCAGCCCCCCGTTGCCTCCGACTGGCAGTCCGCAGACGCCCGCAACGTCAACGTCGGCAGCGGCGGCGATGCCGAGCGCAAGATCGGTACCGAGACGGCTGCCACCTCCGGTCTGAGAGAGCCCGCGTCCAAGGCGGCTGAGGACCTGAGCAGTGTTGGACGCCAGGGTGTTGAGGGATTGAGCGGCGCTCCCAAGGACGCCGCCGCGAGGTAAATTATGGGATGGGAAACTGGGAACTGTATTATAAGAAGAATGGGATATGAGTAATGATACGCCCCAAGGGGCCTTTCAAACTTTGCATCATGTTGTTTGAAGTCGGGGGCGAAGCAAGTCTGTAAAGCTGATGATATTGCTGTGGTGACCATGACGAATTTCTGCCTGGACTGAGGGGGAGGGCCATCAGGCGTGGATGCAAGATATGGGATGAAATCCTCGAAGTGATGGAAGCGGAGATTCAGTTTTGCGTGTTTTGATGATCCATTTCAATTCTTTTCCGCGACGAGTTACTTCTCTGGCGCCACAGGAACCAAAGTAGTCTGCTTCTACCGTGGGATCTCTTATGCTTTACCAATTCCATCAGCATCGTCTCAAGGCAGTACTTCCACTTCTGTACTTTTGTCCTCTACCTAAGCACAACCTCGGATCAGTTTGAGCCCAAGAGAAATGCAACCGCTAGGCCATATCCTTTCGTTCGCTCTGCAGATTCAACCCAGCTAGGCGTACTCGTAGACAATTTGTTTTTGTCAATTCACAATCCTATTCTTCTACAATACGATCCTTTCCTGCCGCCGTGAGCGGGCTCTGCAGTGATATTGCTCCACAAACGAAATAACACGTCCGATTCGTTGTCGTCAATTGAAGTGTCTCACTTCGAGGAAGGTGAGTTGCAAACGAAGTCGCAACCCGGTGAATTTGACGAGTTCCTTACTTGGCACCAGTCATCGATCGAATTCAGACCTCATTCTAGCTAGCTCTCAAAGTAGAATTATCGGTGCCTTATTGAGGCCCTTGCCATCGAACATGATTGCAGTAGAGGACGACCTCACAGAGGCAACATGACACTATGAGACAGCGTGGGATATCATATATTGCCCATCTAAGTGCCTTCATTGAGAGGACAAAGCCGAATCTCTGCAGCTTCCCTGCTGCATGAAGTACATCTTTCAATCCAGAAGTCGTTCTTGGATAAGTTCTGCTTCTTCCCATCTGCATGCAACAATCTTTGATATCCAACTTGGCCTGTTTGTTACAGTCCCCACCGACAGGTCGACAAATTTCATTCACAGGCAGGGGCAAGACACCTTCCTCAGTCTCTCAGAGTGAGGGCTGCTCCTTCTCTTGCACTGGTTACTGCGTCGACAGGGTTTTCATTTCTAGGTGAGCAGGAACGACTCTGCTCTCTCGAGCAACTTATCGTGGGTGGACCTGCCTGCCTGACTTCCATCCTGGACGATTCCCCCGTCTTGACCTTTCTCCTTCCTGCCCTATCTCTGGCCAGACCCTATCTCTTTTTGGATCTGGTCTGGGCACACTGCTGCCCTTTGCATCTTCCATTTCCTCCCCCAAAGTCCGTCCCTCACCTTCTCTTTTTCCCACACTCATCCTCCACCACAACACAACATCACAACACCACATTTCTTTCCAAATCGACATTTCCTTCCCAAAGCACCTTCTCGTCTACACCTTACTCTCTACCTTCAAGATCTTCTTGAACGGATAGCTGAGAACGGCCTGCGCTATCTCGTCTCTACACCATCCAAACACCGCGCAACGCGCTACCTACGTCTACAAAATCAAATCGAGGGACCTCGGATCACAACCGGGCCTTCCAGTACCAGGTAAGAGCGCCTCTCATCGCGTCGTTTGCTTTTTGGTTTCCGTCTCGTCGAGATGTCTCCTTCCTGTTGCATATTTTTCTACCCCATCCCGTCCACCACTCGCTGAATTTCGTCCTGACATGCGACCAGAACCGCGCTGCAACATAGCAAGCAAACTCACGAACGCAAGTTCCCAGCTCTACAAGCCTCTTATCAAATATGGGCAGCTGGGGAAACAAAGAAGAGCGGCGTACTGATCGCATGCCGAAGCTGCATATGCAACCTACCGCGACTCAGTCTCCCATGACTCCTCCCGTCGCGCCCGACCCGATCAGAGATGCCATGATGGCAAGTTCCTTCCTTCCTCCTCCTGAACCCCGCTTACATTCAACAGAACGACCTAGGCATTGGCCGTGTCGAAGAACTCCCTCTTGACAATACTAAGCGCGAGTACCATGATCGGCTGCGCCCTCGTCGTCCTGTCGTCCCCACGCAAACTTCTGAGTCCCTCCAGGGATACTTGAGTAGGTTATTGTCCATGTTCGTTGATGTAACATGTGTCTGACTTCAAAACCAGAGTTGGCCAAGACCGGCCTTGATGATGACGAGGCCAAGGGTGTTCAAAACCTCAGCGACTTGGGCGGTCCAAGTGCCTACCGGGCCTCTGGAGGTCCTTCGCAGGACTATGTTCCCAAGCCCCGCCCCGCGTAAGTCGCTGCCCGGCTTCTCTCGGCGGCAACCTAGCTGACACAGAATAGCAATGATGCCTATGCTGGCATGAAGACCAGCCCGAATGGCATCCTTCTTCCACCCGGCGCTGAGGTCAGGATCTTTACTAAGGCTAGTGGTAACAGTGCTGGTACCAATGTTCTGGTCCAGGCTGTTGGAGGCACCGAGCAGACCTATGTTACTCAAGCGACCAGTTCTCAGACAACTGGCGCCACCCAGGTGACGTCTGCGATGTCTTCTCAGGGCGCTTCTGTCACCTTCAAGGGTAGTCAGCATAAACCCGGCCAAGGAAGCATGTCTGCTTTGCCTCCTCACCTGAGGAAGAAGCCCGCTGAGGGTGATTTTTCTTCTCCCTTGTCTGCCCAGACCACTCAGTCTACTCAGGCCGACAAGCAACCTGCCCAGCCTACTCAATCTACTCAGACCGTCAGTCCTGCACTGTCTACCCAGCCTGCTCAGGTTGCCAAGACACAGACTCCAGTTGCTGCCGTTGCTCCTCCTATTACCAAGGCCTCTTTGCCCAGCGAGGGACGTATGGAACATGATTGTGCACCAGCTAACGACTCCACCTTGCCTTCTGACAGACAACTGTTCTCGTCTACTTGCAAGGGAAAGATTGGAGGTCCTGGTGGATCATGGGAAGATGTCATCGTCAAACTCAAGGTCGTCTTCACCGAGAATCGCCCCGAGGGCCACGCCATGTTCGTCATGGAGTACAAGGACATTCTCACCAAGAGCCACGGTCTGGAAACTTACCGCTGCGTTTATGCAAAGGGTATCTTGGTGATCTGCAGCTTTATCGACTCCTCAAACGACAAACCCCGGGAAGAGCGATACAGCTTCAGGTTCCCAGACGAGAGCACTGGAGTGGAGTTTAACCTTCAATGCGACAACATCAAGCGTGTGATGGAGTACATCCTGAAGCACGCCATCCCTGCAAAGAGCGAGGCGGTCGAACCCTCGGCAAAGCAAGAGGCAGAGGCAGAGTCGCTTCCCGAGACGCCTTCGGAGAAGACGGCAGTCGGCACTCCCACCCCCGAGCCTGTTTTGAAGATGGTTGCTGCGCCCAAGACCGACGTCGATAAAAATGCCTCGAAGACCACAGACCTTGAGGATGCCTTCGACAAGCTCGCACTTGATAAGGTCAAGGGCTCCTCAATGTACACGGCGGAGCGTACGGCGGAACGTAGGCAGTACAGTGCCGAACAGCTTCTCGAGAGACGTTCGTCGGCTGAGATGCCTCCCGGCATCAAGGATGTCAAGATTCCTCTACAGAAAGACCGAGGTGGTCGATTGCCCCCTCATCTCCATTCCAACCGTCGCCAGGAGTCAAACGCCGATCAGCAGGCCAAGGCCAAGCTTCACCAGGAGTGGCTGTCCGGCAACAAGACTACGGCTGATCTTCATCAAGAGAGCGTCGCGAGCCCGGAGTTGCCCGCCACTGCTTCTACCATGGCTCCTGTTGGAAAAAGCGATGCTTTGGTCGAGGTTGAGATCAACGATCAGGTGGTCCAGCCGCCTATCAAGGACGCTCCCATCTTCCAGGAGTCCGAGTCTATGAAAGAGTCTTCTATCCAGAAGCCCGAGTCTACTGATGCACGCGTCGCTGACGAGTCGCTGATCTCATTCAAGACCAGCAAGTCCGAGGTCGACTCTGCTGTCTCCATGCAGCCTACCTCCACTGCCCCCACCGTCGAAGATGAAACGCTCAACACCAGTCTTTCTCAAGAGGTCGGCACTCCAGTGCCCGTGGCTGAGTCGACTGCCAAGCAGACTGACGCAGCTAACGCTACTGATAACTCAGAGCAGCCAATTCCTGTCATGCCGCCTGCGCAGGCCAACCCCCACCCGGGCTACATTCACGGCGTCCAAGGCATGCCTCCCCAGATGCCGACTCCCATCATGGGATCTCCTCACATGGCCGGTCCCGCTATCTACCATCCGTATGGAGCTCAGCAGATCATTGAGTCTGCGATGCAGCAGCACTTGCCCGCTAATGGAGTCTTGCACGCCATCTCCGTGACCTACCACGTCAGCCAGGGACCTTCCTCCGCTCAACAGAACGGCGGCCATCAGTCTGCGCCCACCATGTATAACATGACTCATCAGCTGAACACTGGCACAGGCTTTTCGCCTAGAGCGCAGGTCTTCCAGCCTGTTGTCCAGGGCCAGACTGTCAACAGTAATGGACCCAAGATGCGTCGTGGCCTCGAGAGCTCGAGATTTGCCACTGGATTCTCTGGTGCCAAGTACGCGGGCTCGTTCACCGGAATCGCGGCTGATGAGTAGTCCCGGATTGAGCGGGATGCGTGGATATGGGGGCTTGCATAACTCTGTCTTGGGCCGTGCTAATGTGATTTGGAGTACGGGATCAGGTCACAACATGAATGGAACGTCTAAAGGTTTTCGAGATACAGTGGGTGGAAAGCAGGACAGAATTGGGCCATCATGCCTGGCTTCTAGAGATCAACGCCAGCAGTAGATAGACAATAGCTTTCTTCAAGCCTTGCTTCCCTGATGTGATTGTATGGCATGTTCCGGGTCTTATTGGAGGAGACCTGTGTTCCTTCTTTGTAATTGACTTTACAATTCATTTTTCTCCTTGCCGGTAGAGACTGAGCCAGCTTTCGTTTAATCATGCTATTCTGAGTGGCGGAGGTGGCACTGTCGACTCATTCATTCTCGGGCTTCTTTCTGCTTGGCTAGGGCCATCCTTTTGAGATGCGGCCATGCCTCTGCTGGTGTTTCGATAAGTGACGTTACTCTAGAAGTTCCATGATTGCTGCGATACGTCGGAATCGGTTAGATCTCGAGTCAACGCAGAGTTCTTCACTTATTGTACTTCATCTTATGGTCGTCCCCATCATGCTATCTATCAAGCTCAATGCGAGTGTTCACCGCTATCATAATCATTCATTACCGCCCAGACGCTCTTTCAACACGGTGATATCGCCGTCGTTCTATAACCCGCCCGATCTCACAGGAAGCATACCTGACCTACTCGTGAACCCATTCGTCATCCTCGCGACTGACGACGACCTCATCAACTTCCATCCTGAAATCCACAATCTCGCGCCCGTTTACCAGGTCGTTCTCCCGCGCCCTCTTATCCGCCTCCTCCTCGTCCTTCGCGATGCCCGCCTTGACGTGCCTCTTGACCAGCCTCCTGCGCGCGACCTCGAAGTCGACGTCGACGAACCACAGCTCGTCCATGAGGCGCGCGGCGGCGTTCCAGGGGTCCTTGTCGAGGGCGAGGTAGTTCCCCTCGAAGACGACGATGCGGTGGGACGGGAGGATGGCAATGTCGTCGGGCTTGGGGTCCTTGACGGCGTGGTCGAAGCTCGGGGCGAGGATGGGCGCGGATGATTCGGGCGCGAGGGGCACGCGCAGGGAGGTGACGAGGGCGTGGAAGGCGGGGCCGTCGAAGGTGAAGGCGGCGCCGCGGCGGGCGTGGGCGGTGGACGGGTCCGGGAGGGCGGAGAGCTGGGCGCGGGTGAGGTGGTAGCCGTCCATGGGCACGAAGGCGGCGGGCGGGGAGTGGGTGTAGGATGTGTCGAGGGCGGAGGCGCGGGTGTTGAGGCGGGTTGTTATTATCTGAGAGAGGGTTGTTTTGCCTGCGGGGGATGTTAGATGAGGATGGGAAATGGATGGAAGGGAATGTACCTGAGCCTGGGATGCCGGCGATACCTATCACTGTTGGAGGGTCAGCGGTGCATCTTGCGATGGGTTGGGTGGGGAAAGGTTTGGTCTTTGGACCCAGGAGCTTGGGTGACGAGGCGCATCAGAGCTTCACGATGCTCGCGTGATAGCTCCAGCAGAGACAGGGAGTAGACGTACGTAGGCGTTTATCAGCCGGTGTCTTTTCAAACTTGTCCCAGGCCTTGTCCACGAGTCTCTCGACCTGCGCCTCCATTTTTGCAGCAATTTCACCCTATGCACTATGAGAATCGGTCTGGTATCAGACTAAGAGATGTCGTCGAGACAAGCGTTTGCGGGATGTCGTTGAGCCGTTTAGCTTGCGGGCAGCTTCAATGAACGCCCCGCCGGGCAAGGTAAACGCCCCCCCGCTGACCCCGCCATGCGGCTTGATGTCATTTCCTTGGGGGTGGGTGGCTTTCTAAAAGTTCGCTTCGGCAGGACTTGCTGTGGGCGGGTTTATTAGTAAGAATACACGAAAAATTCTGTTGTGGTGGTTAGATGCATATTTCTGACAGCGGACGGCGTTCTGCGGCGGGCGACTCGGACGGACTGGTGGAGGTCCCACTTTGGAGGGACTCTCTCGGCATGCTGTGGGTAACCCAGTCGGCGACGAAGAGTCACCTAGAAAAACGGGAGAAAGCTTTGCGAGGTCTGGACTCTTTTGGGAAGGCGAGATTCAAATCAGTCATCAGCAAGCTTGCGTTGGGCAGCATCAGAGACATCGCAATATCCCCAGCCATTCTCGGGGGTGCACCAGTCGAGACAGGCAATTTGAACATTTGGGGGGGACTGATACGCCATCTCTAAACCATTCGGCGACTGCTCGAAGAGGCTCCAGTCCACTCAAACACCCAAAAACGACATAACAGCACAATGTCCGACGACGACGGGGGTCTGTTCTGCATCGCCATCGACTCCGATGAGGAGGGCACGGCGAAGCCCCGGGACCACCAGTCCGAGGAGGCCTTCCAGGAGCTCCGGGCGACGTACAGAGTCAAGGAGCAGAACGGCGAGGTGAGTCACGACAGCAGAGATACGCTGCATTTTTCATTATTGCGATGCTTCATTTTCACAATTACATTATTCTTACCTTATGGAACGCCTCGGGGAGGATGCCCTTTTTTCCCTTCCCCTCCCCGGCCCTGTCCAGAACGCCGAACCGGAGCAACCGAGCCCCCCAAACCACCCCCTCACCGATGCTCACTTTTTTTCTCCACCGCATCCGAGAGACCGCCTTCCCCCTCTTCCTCCCTGCATCCGACTTGCTTACGCACGCTGAGCGGGAGCAAAACTGATTCAAAATAGGTTTGGAAGACGATTGAGCTGCCATTGACTCCTGGTCCGGCCAGCAAGCCCGTGTTGCAAGAACTTTTGCACGCTGTGGAGGAGTTGTACTTCTTTCGGAGGTACGAGGAGGGCGCGGCGTTTGTGAGGCGGGTCCTGGACGGAAGTGAGGCGGCGTTGGATCGGGATACGAAGGACATGCTTAGCCGGTACGAGGCCAAGTGTCGGGGTCGGATGGGAAACTGAATAAAGATACCCGTGTTACGGAAGTGCACTATTGAGAATGCGATACCCTATCATTCAGTAGTGGCAATTGGGCATGCACGAAATAAGTTTTTCAGGGTGCAAAAGTTTGCTGATGATTTGAGTGTGAGGCAGGATGCGGTGTGTGAAGTAGGTGTGGGAGATGTCTATTTTCTCTAAGGAACACTTTCTAATCTCTAGCCCGAAGACCGAAAAGACAATGCTTTGGCAAAAGAGAAGTCCCCCCGTGGATGCTCTATCGTGTAGGGGTATTTTGTTGCCCGGACTCCGTGAATATAAAAATGATTTGTACAAGGCGAGACACTCTCAAATGAGAGGGCTCTAAGCAACGATCTCGCTCTCCATCCCATCCTCTTCTCGTCTTCAAAAGTCATTAAACCCAACGCCGTCTAAAGCCCATTTTCCGTACCGATTCTTGAAAAAGTGTGAAAAAGATGTGATGCTGCCCGCTTTTGTGGTCGAGAGAAATTGCAAAAGGCCGCTACGCTCGCTGCAAACGCAAGAACCGCGCGAAAAGGTGATGACGGGAAGGAACTGAAGCAACTCAGTCCTGTCTGTCTCATGCCGCCATACCCTCACGCATGCTACCCTGCTGGCGCTCGCACTCGAACGCCCTCCTGCTCATAGCGAGGACGGTCTCGAAGCCCTCCTTGCCCTTGATGGCATTGTCGGAGAACCGGGTGACGAGGGTGTCCTCGATCTTGTTCTTGATCTTCTGCCAGCCGCCGCAGAGGGCGGTGATCTGGGCTTCCTGGGCGAAAAGGGTCTTGTGGGCGCTGATGGGCTTGTAGACGACCGTCTCCTGGACGCTGACGAGGTTGGTCAGAGTCAGGTTCTGGGAAACCATGGTGACGGTCTTGTTGGCCGGGTCGACGTAGGACGTCTCGAAGACCTGGGAATTGCTGCCGTCGCCGAAAATGGGCTTGAGCCAGTCGGGCGGGGACTGCTTGCAGGTGATGAGGCGCTCTGTGCGGAGGATGCCAGTGGCGGGGTCGACGCTGCGGGCGAGGGTATCGACGGCGACGACGTGGGAGGACTTGTCGTTCCAAGGACAGTACTTTCGCCAGTTGGCGGTTGAGACCTCCTCCCAGGAGTACTCGAAGGTTACTGCGTTGGAGAAGACCTTCATCGTGAAGTGTTTGTTGGTGGTGATGCGACGAAGATGGGGAAGCTCGTGTGGATGTTTTTTTGCGGGAAACTTTTTTCTTCGCGGGTCCTCCACTCGGTTCTGGGTATCGTGTGCGGTCGTGAAGTTCGTTAGGGAGAGTGTTACAGCGACGGAAAAGGCTTCGAAAGAGAGTCGAAGCTGAGGCTGTACAGTTGTTTTTTGTTTTTTGTTATTGTTGTCGAGCGAGGCGACAGTGGTGAGTCAAATGCTCGTAGAGGGATTAATGCGCGGTTGATAGGCACCTACGGATGGGTGGAAGGGATTCGTTGATAATAAAGGGACGCAAAAAATAAATGGGCAAGGGCGATTGGGAAACCTTGCAAGGAGCTTTCGGTAGGTCGGAGGGTGGAGCGGGTGTCGTGTGCGGGTTTTTTAGGAAGGGGATCTGACCAACCAGGTGCGTGGCAAAAGAAAAGGTGGAGACGCAGAGGGAAGCGCGACCGGCGAACTGGGCAGGGTTTCACACTTCAGTGTGCGCTGCGCGTTGGTGCAGCGCTGAGAGAAAATTCTCGCTGCCTCTGTCCCCGCCTGCTGCTGCTGGACGTTGGGTGCTGGTTGGTCCATCCTTAACCCCGGCCGGTGCCCCGGGGAAGGAATGGGAATTCGGGGTGGCGCGTGCGAAGTGCGACGTGCTTGAGCTCCATCTGAAAAGTGGGAGGGAGAGCGCTGTTTGGGCCGGCTGAGGTCCATCGACCTCGCCTATCTCTCCTGATTGGGTATGGCGTGCATGAGCGCGATAGAAAAAAATCGGAACGGGCTGGCCGCGGTGTTGCTGCTTACATGTGATTGGCTTTTCGGCGGGGCGTTGCAGAGAGAGGGCTTCTGAAAAGCGAGGAAAGCTTCGATTCTGTGTACAGAGGCCCGAGCGTCTACT